ACTCCGTACCTATCTCCTACATTTCTTTTCTCGTAATCATCCTCATGCCGCAACCTCTCTCTCTCTCTCTCTCTCTCTCTATCTCTCTCTCTGGAGTGCCTTCGTCAACATGTCATTTGAATGGAGTTGGCAGACCTGCCCAGCGCAGAGAAAGGAAATGGATGAGTCATGTGGGACACTGTGTCTCGACGACGATACCAAAGCAAGCATGGTGCGTTGTCACTACTTCACACAGCGCGTGTCAGCACAGCAGAGGTCAATAGTAACGCCTCTCACATCTCCTCGAAAGCATAATGACCAATGTTACCCCCCTTTGACACCCGGAAAGCATAAGAACAGGGAACCCGAGTCCTGGGAGATACAGATAGGGAGAGAGGAAGCAAGAAAGCGAAAGAGATCATGGCGACTCTTACGATCCCCCATCCAGTTCCTTCTGCGGCTGAAGACGCCGAGCACATCCGGAAGGCCGTCCAAGGTATCCTCTTCCCCTGTAAAACATGCATCTTGGATTTTATTAGGTAGACGTTTTATGTATTTTTGTCATGCCCTTTTCTCACATGAGTTACAGTAGAGAGGATTGATATCTTGGCCCATGTCTTCCAGTTTAATGTTTGTGTTGGATGCCTGTGTTTTGTTTTCCCATTGGAAAAGATGCATTTTTCCAGTTGCATTTTGGACTTTATTTTGGAGATGTTTGATGTGTTATTGTCATGCCTTTTTGTCGCATGAGTTGCAATAGAGAGTGTTGATATCTCGGCCCATGTCCTCCAATTAATTGTTTATTTCGGATGCCTGTGTTTTGTTTTCCCATGGAAAAGATGCATTTTTCTACTTGCATTTTGTTTGATGTGCTATTGATTGTCATGTCTTTGTTTTCACATGAGTTGCAACAGAGAGGATTGAGATCTCGGCCCATGTCCTCGAATTTAATGTTTATGTCGGATGCCTATGTTTTGTTTTCCCATGGAAAAGATGTATTTTTCCACTTGCATTTTGTTTGATGTGCTATTGATTGTCATGCCTTTGTTTTCACATGAAATGCAATAGAGAGGATTGATATCTCGGCCCATGTCTTCCAATTTAATGTTTATGTCGGATGCCTATGTTTTGTTTTCCCATTGAAAAGATGTATTTTTCCACTTGCATTTTGTTTGATGTGCTATTGATTGTCATGCCTTTGTTTTCACATGAGTTGCAATAGAGAGGATTGAGATCTCGGCCCATGTCCTCGAATTTATTGTTTATGTCGGATGCCTATGTTTTGTTTTCCCATGGAAAAGATGTATTTTTCCACTTGCATTTTGTTTGATGTGCTATTGATTGTCATGTCTTTGTTTTCACATGAAATGCAATAGAGAGGATTGATATCTCGGCCCATGTCCTCCAATTTAATGTTTATGTCGGATGCCTATGTTTTGTTTTCCCATGGAAAAGATGTATTTTTCCACTTGCATTTTGTTTGATGTGCTATTGATTGTCATGCCTTTGTTTTCACATGAGATGCAATAGAGAGGATTGATATCTCGGCCAATGTCCTCCAATTTAATGTTTATGTTGGATGCCTATGTTTTTTTCCCACGGAAATGATGCAAATTTCCACTTGCATTTTGTTTGATGTGCTATTGATTGTCTTGCCTTTTTTTTTCACATGAGTTGCAATAGAGAGGATTTTTGTTGGATGCCTATGGTTTGCTTTCCAATGGAAAAGATGCATTTTTCCACCAGTAGTTTGGACAAGATGTTTGGTGTGTTATTGTCATTCATTTTTTTTATTCACATGAGTTGCAGTAGAGAAGATTGATTGATATATTGGCCCCATGCCCTCCAATTTAATGTTGACTATGTTTTGTTTTCCTCTAGGATGGATGCATCCCTTCCACTTGCATTTTGGATTTTATTATGAAGATGCTTGATTTGATATTGTCATGTCTTTCACCAGAATCGCAATCGATGATTAATATCTTTGCCCATGTCCTCCAATTTAATGTTTGTGTTGGATTCTTTTACATTATATTTTTATATATTTATATATTTATATATATAATTTGGACTTTATTATGAGGTTGGATGTGTTAGTGTCATGCCTTTATTGAAATAAAAACCTATTGTTGAGAAATAGTGAAGTAAAAGCCTAACTATGAGACCTGTATGTGTTAGGATGGGGAACTGATGAGAAGGCATTGATTTTGGTATTGGCACATAGAGATGCGGCTCAAAGAAAGCACATACAATTGGCTTATGAAGAAATGTACAATGAGAATCTGATCAAACGACTCGAATCTGAACTCACCGGACACTTTGAGGTACTAATCATCGTGTCGTTTTCCTTTTCTTATTTACTTGGATGTCGTCATACATGGTTTCACCTTATTGGCATGCTTGGTTCTTCAGAGGGCTGTCTACCGCTGGATATTTGACCCAATCGAGCGTGAGGCTGTGATGGCTTACGTGGCTTTGAAGAAGACTTTCAACTACCAAGTGATCATAGAAATTGCTTGTGTGAACTCTTCAAAAGAGCTTTTAGCTGTGAAGGAGGCTTACCATGCTCGATACAAACACTCGTTGGAGGAAGATGTTGCTGCTCACACTGTTGGAGATTTCCGCAAGGCACGTCGTCCTCTGGAAAAATTTTGCATATTTTCACTTGTGGTACGAACATGTCTTTATGTTTCATTTATTTTTGCAGCTTTTGGTTGCACTAGTGAGCACATACCGATACGGGGGAGATGAGATCGATATAAGCTTAGCTAAATCGGAGGCCAGGATTCTTCAAGATGTGATAAAGCAGAAGAAATTAAACCATGAAGAGACCATCAGAATCTTGGGTACTAGAAGCAAGGCACAACTCAATGCTACTTTTAATTGCTACCGAGAGGATTACGGCACGCCCATCGAAGAGGTACAAAGCTGACTACTCAAACTCAAACACCAAATTGGAACTTATATCTGTAGTGAAATTAAGGTCTTTGTTACTCTGGTCAGTCTTTGGCCGGTGAAGATCCAAATGAATTTGCATCGGCACTACGGATGGCAATCGGATGCATCGTCAATCCGCAGCCGTACTTTGTGGAGGTGAACCAACCATAAGAGCTACCAAACAAACCAAAATTATTGTGTGCACTTACTTCTTCTATACTTATTTTTCTTTCCGAGCTGTAGGTACTACACGATGCTCTCAGCAAACCGGACACCGACGAAGACACACTCACTCGCGTGATCGTTATGCATGCCGAGAAGGACTTGAGGGGGATCAAGGAGATGTATCAGAGCAGAAACAATGTTCCTCTTGAGCAGGCAGTGCGCCAAAAGACTTCAGGCGACTACAAGACCTTTCTCCTTGCTTTGATTGGAAACTGATCATGCTTCCTTGGTGCGCTATGCTGCTGCTCTTTGGAGTGAACGTTGCTGTGAGACAATGGCTTTGTTTTGTGGGTCGAGTTTGAGGTGTTTCCAGCTGTGAGACGATGCCTGCGTGTGTGTGTGTGTGTGTGTCGGTGCAATTACTAGCTTATGATGTTGTGTTAAGGATGTGGGATGAGTTAAATTTGACATGTCCAATATATTTATAAGCTTAAAAATGGAACAGCCCAAACGAAGAACATATGTCATATTAATATTCTTAAAAGAACACCAGGTGAAATGAAAAGAGGGAAAGACGGTAGTAAGCTTCGGCTCGATAAATATTTTTAATTGGATGATCGATAATCTAAAAGGCTTAATCTATCGAGGAAGATGGGAGAAAGTTTATGAGATACAGAAATGCATAGATTCACATCCTCGTCAATTCAGCTACGGAAATTAGAGATTTTAGAGTCTAAGCTTCATGTTTGTATGTTGTTGTTGACCTTTGATTACAAAAATTTAAAATTTTAAAAAATAAAATAAATATAAGATTAATGGGAGACGGAATGATTGCCATACGTATGTATCACCATCCATTTTTTCTCTAGTGGTTTTTTTTTATTTTTTTATTTTTTATTCTCTCTCTCTCTCTCTCTCTCTGTTCATGCTGTGGTGTGAACGGGGTGGCGCTGATGTGATGCAGCTTCCTAATACCTGTGCCATGTAAAATAAATAATTATTCCACAGCTTTTGGCAATTTTCTAAGCGCACTGTCAAATGTCACAGTGAAGATGTGATAGGAGAGAACAAGCCAACTTAAAATGATGAATGATCTAACCTGGTACCAGCTTAAAATGAATGATCAATCACACAAATAAACTTGCGGCAAATCTTACAAGACTTAAATGCACAATAAAAAGTTAGAATTAATTATTTCATATGCAATTGATATTGCTGCATTGCACCAAAACACAAAACCTCTACTGTGATTCATTTACAAATTAAACACGAGAACTACTGTGAGAAGGCCTTTGAAGGCTTCATAAAGGGATCCATCACCAAAGCCAGTAACATTCAACTTACGCTTTCTCCCGTCAAACCCATCACCGCTCTCCAACATTGACCACCGCTCCACACTGCAACCAATCATTGTTACTTCTGATGAAACAATGACCTAATTTGAGTACAAATCTAATTTTAGTCATAGTACCTTTCGCAGGTTTCTCGATCCAGGGGCCATTCATGATATTCAAAATGCTACAAGCATTACTGTATTCCAGATCAGGAAGCAACTTCGGCGTCAGCAAAAAACACCTACGGGTATACCAGCGTCATCAACACTTTGTGGTATTATCCTGATAAAAACTAACTGAGCATATATAAATAAAATTTTCCAAATCTTATAGATCTTTCTTACTGAGGTGTATTCGGTTGACTGGCTGCTCTGACAAGTTGTTGAAACATTTTTCTTTCATTTATAGGATCCATTCCTATGTTTTAAGAGATCGATCAAGGAAATCATATGATTGTAAAAAATCAAAGAAAAATATACCAAGGTGACAGCTTACCTTGATTTATCTCATCAACCACGCGGAAAGGGCAATTTGTAAGATCTTGAAGTGAAACAAGATAAAGAATTGTTGAAACCGAGCGCTCCTGAGATGATAAAAATCAACAGAAATAAGCTCATCAGCGAGGTATATAAAAAACAATAAGAGATGAAGATATGATACCCCTCCAGACTGGTGATGGGCACTCAGCACTTGAAGTTGTCCAGATTGTCTGTCAAAAAGGGCAGTGGGTGACTGATTGGAATTACTAGAACAAACAATGAAAAAAGTACACTTCTCAACAACCAGTAGGCAAGATAGAAACAGCAAGCAGCAAAAAATTGTAGTGCTTGCATGTTTAATGACAAACATAATAATATTCAAGAACAAAACATTTCCAAAATTCAGACATGATTGCTGAGAACAATATGAATGTTCAGTACTTCCAAAATATAATAAACTGCTGGTTTAATGTTTCATTCAAAGATATAATGTGAACAAACAAAGCTGGTACATGCCAACTGTAAACAAGTTATCATGTTTATATAAACAAGTTATCATGTCTCTATCTGGATTAATTGGTAACTCTCAATAGGTTTTGCAGAAAGATGGCAAACATGTTAAGCTACCAAAATTTCCCAACATCAATTAACTTTCTAATAATGTTTTTTTCTTTGTCAATATAAAACTACCAATCACCATTCTAATTGGTCAACATGCCAAAACTAGATCAGAAATAGGTTAATACATTACAATTGTTGAAAGCTAACATATAAGGAGGCAGTGCATCATCCTATTAGAAGTAATTGACCCATCCATTACCAAAATTATAGAAACATTTGAAGATAACTTTGTACAAATAATGCCCCTTCCAAGGATAGGAGAAAAGTATCTTTGAGTTGGAATTTCCCCAAAGAGGTTAGTTCCTCTTAAGAGGGTCCTCTACTGCTGTACATTGTAAACAGATGTTTAGCAAATTTGCAACATTTACAAGATTTTTAGTACTTTGTTTAATTCTAAGGATGGACACCAAGGTCAAGAATTATGACCATAAAATACAATACTGAACTCTCAATGAGCAAATATATCGATGAAAGAAGAATTTTGAGTGCGGACAAATAAGTAATAATGCTTCCAATTTCAAGTAATTGATCAACTCTACTGTTACAAATCATCTATGTTCTTTTAAATGGGATGCCATTATTAAATAGTTTTTCTTGGTGAATCAACTAAATAAAATCAAAAATTAGATTGACTCATTCTTTAACATGTAGCTGACCTGAACTTCACTTTTATAAGTATTCCATACATGTCAAAATCCATGTCATGCTCATCTGCAAGATGACAAAAGACAATTTAAAGAGCACTAGATACAATTTTCACAGTTCTAACAGTTATTAAAAGATCATTAGCCAATACCAAGTGAAACCTCGCCAGCAACAGCCATCTCTCGAAAGTTACGACTAAAAGTATCATTTATCTTGGCAACAAGATTCCGCAATGTGGGAAGCCAATTTTCCTACAAAATATTATTTCAATAAGAACCCAGCTTAAACATTTCTACCAGTGAAAGCAGTAGAAGATGCATGTCTATTAGCATTAAAGAAGGTTTGTGTAACCTTTAAAGTATCTATCTCCCGTAGATATCTACTTAGTTCCTTGTCATCCACCGCAAGTTTAGCTGCTATGGCATCTATCTGTCAAACAAGGATATTAGTAAAATAGAATTTTCAGATTGCTCAATAGTTATGACTAAAGACACTAACTAGATTTACCTTGCATTGACGATTTTCATATTCTTCAAGAATATTCTGATTAAGAAACAGAATCGAGTTTGCTTCAGATATATTATCTTGGATTGCAGCTTCCAGTTCCTCTATTGTACCTGGCATCTGCAATCGTATTGATGAAGCAAGACATTGTTACCAAAAAACAAAGGAATTGACAAGCCACATCCAGCAAACCCAAATTGCTGAGAGTTCGGGCAAGTCAAATGTCATTCTTTAAATCCTAAAATAGAAGATTTCAGAACGGAATATAAATAAAGTATTTAGACTCTGAACATGCAAAAAAGACAGGCTTGAATAATTATAAAGATTTTGCATGTATGTAATGTTTTTCAGAGGCAACATCAATCAATATATTAACAATTAAAACTAAGAAACTTCCTGTCTTCAAACACATACATTATTTACAACACTGTAAGAAGATTCATGTATTCAACTTGTATACCATTCTGTACCTACTGTCTAGAATTCTTAAAAGCGAAAATAGTCCACATCAGATTACAATCATTTGCCCGTATAATGTTTATAGATCCATCGATGTCAATATGAAAGGTTCACAATAAACAAGATCAATGTTTTAATCGAGTAATTAATAGTTAATATTTATCATTTAATTTAGCTGTGGACATTCCAAAAGCAAATTTTGTACCTGTTCCAAAAACACATTAAAAAAATAAGACCAAGAAATAATATAAGTCTTTGTCAGCTACTAAAATATAGTACACAACATTATGCAAAATAATCTACATATTACGTCACATGTACCATAATACAACACAAATAGAACGTAGCAAATATGTGTAGTATAGATTGCATATAAGAACTAATAGAATTTGTAATGCACAAATATATGACAAATAAAAATAAATAGTAACATAAAATAAAAATTACAAAATGAAATTGAGGTTTCATGTAGTAACGAAATCATTAACATTTCAAAACAGTAATAAAATTTTAAGATGTTAGCTTCCAAAACCAAATTTATTTTAAAATTTTGAAAATCAATAATTTGTTAAGAGTAGTCAATTATTTGAACAGCGGAACAACATAATTATAAAGCTCTTGATGCCTGAGCTTCGGAATCATATTGACCCAACTTATCCAATCTGAATGTCATTAATTGCAAAGAGTTGGCAGCCAAAGGAAGGCAACCTGAAAAGTTTTTTAAAATTCATAGACCGGATTAGCTTAATAAACATCAAGAATAACTATCACCTTCAAGAATTCCTGACCAAGATCTTCAGTGATAATTGCAACAGATTCAGCATGACGCTTTGCATCATGGAGTTGTTCTTTACACTGCTCAGTTTCTTTTTTGCCTGCCATAATCAGTATAGTGAAGATCAAACATTAAGTTAATTATACAACATTTGATATATATAATTATATATAACATTAAGATGATTTAAAAAGAGAAAGAGAAAGAGAAAGAAAAAGAAAAGAGAAAAGGACAAACAGCTATTAAAAATTAAACAAGTTAGTGCTTGTTACCACCTGATACAATTTGGTACTGCTGTCTTTACCATCCAGTAAAGTTCAGTGTTCGTGAACTTAACAGATGGTACTACCCATATGATACCGAATAACCGGACAAAATTGGTAAGGGCCCACATCCTGGTTGACTGCCCCACCAGTATGGGAGGTATTTAAACGTTGGATAACATAACTACTAGCCTTTGAGTGGTCAAAATCTATTATCGCATGCTATCCATTGGTTGAATCATTATAAATAAATGAGATGCATGTAGAACAATTTCAGGCCACTGAATCCACATTTCCTGGTTCTATGAAACCAGGAACAAGTTTACAGATGCTGCACAGTGTATCCATATCTAATCATGTAGAAACTTTACTGACTTGTTACTAGTGGCAGCTTATGACATTTAACGGCACCCCTATACTTGACATTGTGAAAAGAGCCATCAAAGTGTCAAATTGCAGATTTTTCAGAAGTGCATAAACATATCTTGGTAGATTTTCCAAATATAGAACAAATTATAAGTACTGTACAGTGTAGAAATACCCCAATCATGTAAAAACTTAATTTTTTCCATAAGCTGTCACTAGTCTTGAGTTTATTTACTTTAGACTCCTCAGTTAATTGATACAGTGAACAAAGTCAAAAACTGCATGCACATAATCTCCTTAAATTGTCACAGACTGAACATACCACCTAACTGTAAAAAGAAATTGTATAAGGTTTTCTGAAGCATAAAAGTAAACTTACAATTGCCAAAATGTGTAGTGGCTACCAAAGCAGACTTCTCATGTTGCTTGAGATCAGTCTCCATTTCTCTGATCTAAACAATGGTCATATCAGAACAACTATATGAGTTTCTATGAGTAATTAGTCACAAAAAATTGATAGTTCTAACAATACTTGAGAAATCATGATAAGAATAACTCCTTATATCAAGCAAAATGGGAAATGGAGGATGCCTTTTAGGCTACAAAGAAAACAGACTACAAGGACCTGGTATTCAACTATTGGTTTAAATAAAGCCCTTTTTTTATTTTCTTTCATTGACCTCATTGGGCAACTGCCAATTCTGTAACATTTGGAACTTCAAATTATACACGATATTTGTACACATATACTGAGAACTACAAAAATCAACAATCTTAAGCTAAACTTCCAACCTTGATCTGCAACTTGATAGATATGAAGTCAGACAAATAATTGATCATTGAACTTTAAAATCAAACCTTGATCATTTCAGAGAATCCTCATAGATATGGATGCTTGCAAATGTTGATGTCCAGACAAGCAAGGAACCTCTTTTCATGACTCACAGCCATCACGTAGGTCACAATGGAGCATCCACAATGGAAGTAAGTCTTGATCTCTTCTGTGGCAACAAACTACCATGTAACTCAGATTAATTTTTCACTTCATGTTTTAATGATCTTTTAGCCTTGTATTTACTTTCTTGTGCATGACTCCTGAGATTGCGTGCTCTCTATTTTAACTCTTGAAATCATATCCCAGTTGGTTACTGTAAAGAAACCATGAATATTATACCTTATACTGTGATTAAACGTTGCTTTGACAGTTGTGTTAGCCTCAGACTACGAATAACGAGTTAGATATGGAAATTAAGCTAGCTCCTTGAAAGCAGCCCTTATTCCTTCTGCAGCTTATAATGCGCAATTAAACCAAAGCATACTAGCAGAATAGACTTATCTCCTTATCAACAATCCTTAATTTGACAGAATCTACTGAATGGGATAATGATGAGTATAGCAATGAGCAAAAGAGACAAAAGAAATAAATTTAACCATAAAAAAAAATAACATACATAAGTGACACGAGATTACAAAATTGTAATTTTAATGCAAAAGAACTTTACAGTAACTAAATGATTCAACGTGTCAAACTTATCCAGTACAACTGCCAACAATAAGAACCTAAGCGATTAATCAACAATCAGCAATGTTAATATTAGGAATATTCACCTTTCCATCAAGCTCCAACGACATCATGTGCTTCTCAGCACATTTCCATTTGAGAGCAACTGCCTCGATCAGTGAATTCTGAAGATAAACCCATAAAATGTTTAGGGAAGGTAGAAATAAGAGACAAAGCTGCAAATATACACTAGATGGATCTTAGGTGCAGAGATATGCATCTGGATACAGCCTGACTTTAATTTTAATTGCCATTTGGAATCGTTTCTCGTTCAACTTAGCAGCTTGATCAATAAGCTTTTTTGTGCCTAACTCCAGGTCATCCTCTTTGTTGAGGGAATCAAGTTTGCATCTCCTTTGTACTGAAAAAATAATCATTAAATCAACCATGTTACAGCACATACAATTTTATCAGTAGTTAAAAACATAAATGCAACTGATGCAGCATGTACCAACAAGACGTTCCAGGTCACAGCGCTTCTTCTTCGCAAGTTTGTAAGATTGGGTTATTTGATCCTGTGGAAAATTTGGAGGAAAAGTATGATCTAAATCAACCATGAAGAATAACCTGAATGAGTTATATAGATGTCTTTTGGCAACAAACCTGTTGTTTGTGCAAATTAGCTTCTTCATCTTCTAATTGTCTCTGTTGTGCCTGAAGCATTTTCAAGCTACCTTCCAGTTCCCCAATCACTTGTTCTAGCTCAACCTTCGTAGACTTGAGCTTTTCTAAATCGCCAACATCCACACCTACAGAAGTAGCATCATTCAGCCTAGTGAGTGTCACAATGCATATTCACTCATAAGAATTAATTAGAACTGAAAAGGATACTAAATCTTACTGCACGAGAAAAGACGCGAGGGAGGGACTGAGTCGACTAATGCTGAGATGTGGCCACCATATCTTGACATGGACCATCGATAGTGACTCTCTGGAGTCCACAAATCCAATATTCCTAGACGTGACACCTCATCTGCCCTCCGGTCAGTATCACGCGAACCAATGTACTAAATAGAAAAGAAGAGTCATACAAGCATAAACCACTGAATGAAACATAACATTGATTCTGCCATATTCAATTATAAATTTAGGATCCAAAGCTATATGACAAAATCGCAACCATGGTTCAGCAAAGCAAGCATACAGATTTTTCCAAGGCAGCCTGGCTAATCAAAACATCTTTAACAGCATCAGGAGCTTCAAAAACTTGATCAAGCCTATTGTAGATACCAAGCTCACGCATCTGCAAACAAATTAAACTACTACTTACCAAGAAATTCCACTATATAGAATGCTGAACATTAACTAGATCAGCTATATTCAGTTACCTCATGTGAAACTTGAAAGAGCACTCTATTGATGCCTCTACCTTCCACATAATTTAGAATTGGGATATCATATGATTTAAGATTTCTAACTAGGAAATCTCTATCTGCTGAATCCTGAGTAATGAATGACTGCAATGAGAAAAAAAACAATATTAGACAGAAGAGGGGGTAAGCCATGATACCATGCTAAGATTGCACCTTTGACCCCTCATTTAGACAGTGTACGAGTCAAAAGTGCAGCCCCTCTGCTTTAACTGGGAACAATGATCCTCTCTAAAGCCCACATTGTTAGGAGCCTTTAACAATGAGCTTCCCTTTCTCAGAAGAGGAAAAGAAGAAGAGGAGGAAGAAAAAGAGACGAGGGAAAATTCAAAAAAGGATGTAGTTAACATGTACCTAGCCTTAAATGAAAGGATATCAACAGAAAAAAACAATATATACATATATATATGATGCTTACAGATCCTCCCATGGTCACTACCTTTATAGTCTTGATCAAGGTTCACCGTACCGCTTAGTATGGAAGGTATGTACTAGTCCAACAGGAGACCGATATAGGTGGTACATTAGTACAACCTCATATACCATGTGTTGGTATACTCGGTATGGCTCGATACAGCTCGGTACATACCGTACCAACAACTGGTTGGTACACCAGTACAGACTGGTAAGGCGAACCATGCTCTTGATGCCAACTTATGTGAATAGCATGAAAAGAACAAGGTTCATGACCCCATATAGTTGGGACATTACAGCATACATCAGCTTGGAGAAACATTTAGCAAATGTTTCATATGTATTACAAATTAGAATGCATAGAACAATCTTGCATGCGAAGTTGGATAAAATGATATTACAGTACCTTCCATATGTAGTTAGGCACATGCCTTTCCAAGTAGGAGGCATGAAGCAGATCCGGAACATTTACCTGGGAACAAACCACCAAAGAGTCTAAATTTGTCAAGACACTTGAAAAAAGACAAGCTATCAAATAAGTAAGATCTAATCTAAAACTTGATGGATGCACCTCAAGGAGAACAGGTCCATATACTTCTTTCCTTAGCTCACTTCGATGCTCTTGAACCCACTTGTAAGCCTCGAATATTTTATCTGAACCAGAATTTCGTAAAGCTTGAAGAAGTTTGTTGTTATTGTTTTCCATCTCCTTTAACCTAAATCATTGCAGCCAGCAGTAATTCACATGAATCAAGAAAGCACCTGCATCCAACAATCTATCAGTAAAAACAAACTACCTGTCAATGTACTGCTTCAAGATCAATTTCTTCTGAAGTAAGATATTTTCTTTCTCTTTCCTTTGAGATTTCACTTCATTTGCATTAATTCGGAGCTCAAGTATTTGATTACCTATTCTTTCCTGCCAATTTGAAATGCATTAGTCAAGCAAACACGAAAATCACAATTAGAAATAAGGAGTATACCATTAACAAGCTTAAGCATTTCAATTCTTTAATTGTCATAGACTATCTGTTTTGATAATAAGCTGGAAAATACAATCTAAGAGAATTTCATGTCAAACCATGATAATGTCCTGCACCATATCAGGAGGGATCAAGGAACTGAAGATAAAAGAAACTGAATGGAAGCAGCCATGGAGAACATGGCCCTAAAGAACAAATATCATGAATCTGCTGTTGCTGTTGTATTTATCACATGCTATTAACATTTAAACCAGGGAACTCAATTTTTTGCCTAGGCCAGTCTGTACCACTGGTATTTACCGGTCCAGGCAAGAATCTGCCGCTGCTGCTGTATTTACCGGTCCAAGCATGGTGGACCTGACCCATATCAGGTGGTGCACTCCAGTTTAATTAAAAAACCCTGATCTCTCTCTCTCTCTGTGTGTGCACATGTTACCTTGGTACTTTCTAGCATATGATGTGTTGGTGCGCCAGAACAGATTGGATCCATGCTGGTCTAGACATGGACCGACAAAATCCCATACCTGAAATTGCATTCCTTGGTTTAAACTAAGTTGTACCTTCAAAAATATTGATTCTCAATAAATTGTGCTAAGCTGGAAAAAGAATATGAAGAAATTTTATTACTTATGTTCAGTTTTAAAATTTTCTTTTATACGATAGATTAACTTATGTACACAGCCATCAGCAAGCAAGTAGAAAATTCATACATCTCTTCCTGCTAAAACTAAAATATCAAATTTATCTGTCCAATTTTAAAATATCATAAGTATATACAATAAGCCTACAAGGAAGCAAGGAGAAATTTCATAGAGGGTCCAAAACACTAAAATTTAAAATTTATCCCTTGAAACTTAAAAATATCATAGATATACATGTAAAATTGAAAACTATGCTCCCAAAAAATTGAAAACTACAAATATGCCCCTTCAGTCATCAACCATCAGTTTATTGTTTGTTTTTTTATTATGGACAAATTAGGCCCACCTAGCCTTTTCAAATATGAACCCACCAATTCTAATGTCAGACATTCATAAATGCCAATCGAACAATTTGACCCATTCCTATAAGTGGAAAGCACCACTCCCTTCCATCCACAATATATAACCATTTATACTGATATCATAAAATAATTTGAAGTTTTGGTAAAATGGTGAACATATTCAGCTAATGGACAAACATTATTGATGAAGAATAACAAACCAACATACAATTTCATCTGTTGGAGCTTCATAAATTGGATTATCTGCAAGCTCCTTTTCAGCAGCAAGAAGATCTTCTTTTGCTTTTGTGATCCTTTGTTGACAAGATTCTTCGTGCCTTCTTAGCTCTTCCATTTCGGCATATTTTCCTCGCACTTGCACCACCTAATACAGTAATATTATTTATTTAGCTACTTTTTGTTCGATAATAGAATAGCATATGTTGCCTCATAAAGGAAAAAAACAAAGGCACAAACAAAATAAATGAACTTACCATTTCACTTTCCCGCTCAAAAACTTCCATGCGTTTCTTTGCATTGTCAGTTACTTGATTGCATATTTTCTTGCTAGTTGATTCATGCATTGCTTTCTCTTTCTTCCGTTCCCTACATATGACAATGATGACACTAGCTCAGCTCAGGCACCATTTATGCTACTATTAACACAAACAAGTTGATTATACAAGTTGCTTGGTGAAACTTAGATAAATTCAAGTAACTAAACTAAAAATTCACTAAGTCCATCAAATAGCAGGCAATCTATGGTTTTCTCCCATATCTGGAGGCAAAATTGACATGCATCAAAAAGACCAATAACATCAAAGTCAACCATTCTACTGTGTCCTCCAGCTAACCAAGCAAAAATTCAGATTTAGCCATCATAACTTCAAATCCTCGATGTGAATCAGATGCCCACCTTTTAACATGACCATTTCTAAATATTAAACATTTCACCAATCCATTTCAATTGATCGTCTCCTGTCATCATTGTACTTTACTCTTTATCCTATTTGTACGGGTTTGCAATGTTCAGCTTGCTGCAGAGTTTTGTCTAATCAGCTCTCAGACGTGGAAGGTAGATGGTGTTTCCATGAAAAAAAATTGTCAATAATTTTGGTAAGCAAATAAAAAAGATGACAAGATGATTTAAGAAAGAAAGAAGAAACAATTGGTAAATGAGAATCTATACTGTAAAGTATAGATTTACATATTACATATCATTGACCATATCCAAGGATTGGCAAAATTCCTACCAAAACAGTTTTTCAAGCGTATGTTGAGCTATTCCACACAAGTATAATTCCAATGTCATGGTCCGACCTGATTGGATAAGTAACAAATTATCATATTGAGTATGAACTTGTGCCTCATGATGCTTAGCCCCAAGTTAATAGTATTATATCCAATAGACTATTATAAATCAATCTAAATATTTTTCCAATTCCAATGTAAGACTAAATGTTACAATCTTTCCCTCTCAAGGGCTTGACATTCTCGCCAAGCACCAATATAACCTACATCAATCCCTAACATGGTGCATGTGAAGCCTAGTTTAGTGGTAGCTCTATACTATGACGTGCCTTTTAGCTCCGTCCACAATTAGTCCATTCGTATTTGAACCCCTTACCATGCACAATAATAGTTTGGCTCTGACACCTCCAATGGGAAAACTAACTCATTAACTTATTAAATCTAAATCACTGGTCCAAAATTCTAAAGCTCGAGTCTAGGTGGTAGTGTACTCAGCAGGTCCTTTTGTGTCAATCCAAATATTTGTCCACTTCCGACTTAAGATTAAATCAGGATGTTAGATCCAAAGTCATAGTACCAACATGAAGTTGGTTGTATCCATAATTCTATATAAATTAGCTCAAAGAACCAATGTTCTACAGTCAAAAACCATATAAAAAAACTATCATGTTGCATTAATAGGAAAAATCATATATGTCTCCTACACGAGAAACACATGACTAAGATCCATCAAAAAGGCTCATATTTCAGCAAATAACAAGTTTCAGTTAATAGATTAATAAGCTTTTCAAAAAACATAGGAGTTTCACACACAGAATGCATGTTTAGCAATATACTGAGAATTAATCTTGAGCAAGCAAATGTCTCTAATCATCTTTTGAAATCAACCATGAACGATCAACCTGAGCTTACATATCCAAGCATTGTGTTCAAAGGGGCAAGTAAAAAGATGTGTACACTGAAATAAGTTATGTGATTATATAACAGAGCTTGCTAAGGGTACATACTCTATAGGCCTTTTAAGATCATTCAAAATTTTAGCAGCTTTGTCCATCTTTTTCTTAGCTTCAGTCTCCTGTTTCTTTGCTTCCATATATTCCATTTTCTTCATGTCATATTTAAGCCATGGAAGTTTCTTTTTCATCAAGTCAACCTGTGAATAGCAGAAGGCATCACAGATACTGCAAAACAGTCAAAATATTGATAAAACAACTTTTGACAATATGCTCACGAAGTCTAAAAGTTTCTGCCTTTGGCGAACACGTTCTACATCTTTCTCTAGCTCAGCATTGAGGGTCTTAAGCTGATTTAGAGTATCTCTATTCTGCCTGACACTCTAGAAGGAGCAAGCCAAAAGCAAATGTTAAAAATTGTTCCAAGTACTAGCAAGAATCAAGAAAGAAAAAAACAAATGATTCTGCCCATTTGAGGACCTTAAACAACTTGTGAAAGAACAGATCAAACTAGTAGCTTATTGGTTAAAAGAATTAGGTTTAAACTTTTATACATCATCAAAAAGAAACATCGGAAAGGATACCACTTCAAGTTTCTTGATTTGACCACTTTTCTCAATAAGTTCTTGATGCTGGACTGGCAAGTCAGGATTACCAACAGCTTTTTCTGTTTCTTCTAATAATTGTATTGGCGTCAGCTTAGCAAACTCGCATACACGATCTTGGGGCAAGAACTATAACATAAATGCACAGAAGAAAAATAATAAGTAATCCAAGAAACACACTACACGGTTAACCAATAGCACATTAATGCAGAAGCAGGGCAAAACACAAGAAAGCCTTACACAGTTTGCATATAGTCAAGATTAGAAACAATTTAATCTTATAAAATTAAGAACTAAACAATCATAAAGAAAACGACAAATTAGAACTTAGACTTCACATGGAAAATATATTTGAAAGAAAATAACGGATCTTAAACCCAGAATGTTTGATTCTTTCAGCTGTGAAGATCTGAATCGTGTAAACTTCAGAGTGCAACAGAGCATTGGAAGTCGGAAATCTGACTATGATGACATCAGGAATCACCTGTCTTCTCTGATCCTTATGGGATTTAGGGGTTGTTTGGTGAATTTTCTCATACTTCTGTTTGGTATATAGTCTGGGATGGATTGGTGATCTCACTCTACTAGAAGTTGTCTCAAATCAATGCTAAAACTCTTAGAATAACTGGTGGCAGAACTATTTATGAAAATCATTATTTGACCAAGAAAAAGGTTCACTTCTTTTTCATTTTTGTTATGGGTGAAAAGATCATTATGGATGGATGTTTTGATGGTTCTAACTGATGTTTTTCCTAGTTTCCTTTTGACTTCTGCTTACTTCAAAAAAATGTTATGGATCTTCTGATGGTTATTGCTTCCTTTGATGTTTTTTGTTCTTGTTGGTTTTTCTATGTTTGTACTCTCATTTCTTTAACTAAAAGAGTTTTGATAGTTTTACCTTCGCTTTGCCTCAAAAGAAATAATATGTGCCACAAACCCAGCCCGCCACCCTAAACCTGACAGGAATTAAGGTATGTTTTTAAATGAAAGCCTTTAGTGCAGTGTAAACTCAAGCCTGAATGAATTTACTAAGTCTGCTAAAAAACCTATAATACTGATTCTAATAAGTAATAACAGCTCAACAAAAAGGAGTTTAACTATAGCGAGTCCAGGCATGTGTCTTTTGGTAAGTTAATGAACATGCCTGATTACCTGATCCTAGGCCTAAGCTATAGACTTTGGCTGACCCAGGCCATTGCTTCCTGCGCAAAGGACCAATATGTGCATAAAAGAAGATATTATTTTCAATAGTGCATCTAACAATCTAATCTATGGAGGAGCATTCATTGAAAATGTTGTGATAAAATTAAGAAAACCAAGAAAAACAACAAAAAAAGAGTAGCAAACCATGGAAATCAAAAGCTTCTTTCATCCACCTAAATACTATTGAGAATATGGAAAACCTAACCGCCCAGAACACAGTGGGAACTTGTAATGATTCCACTCCCTCGTGATTTTAAAGGCAACTCAACTTGTCATGAACTGAAGGGAAATTTTGAAAATAGAGAAAGATCTAAATTCTTGAAGTAAATTGAGACAAAGGAAAAAACACATTTGTTCAAAAAGCTTCCAAGCTTGTCCCTTGTTGATCAGTCATAACTCGCATTTTATAGAGAACAAGGATAATAGGTCTATATCAAATGAATTGCATCACCTAGACCATCAAACACCAAGCAAAAGCCCTCATCTTACGCACACAACAGGCAGTCTCATAATTGAATATTTGACATAAAGGATTTGTTGGTTGAGTCTACAGAACATTTTGTTGACAGAAAAAGTTGACCAATCCCAAGCTGGCTGTTGCATGTGTACAGATTAAGAAGGGCCGACCAATCTCAAGAATGCACCCATCAACAGACCTCTTATTTGTCCTCTTCGTATCTTTTTTTGTAGATACATAATCATAAGAAAATCCTTCAAACAGTACCTCTCATAAAAAGAGGCTATCTTTCTTGAGGAATGACAACATCTATATGAGGGCACATGCAATGTATAAATGCCTAAGAAATGTGGACTAAGTTACCATATTCCACCAATTACACCCACCATCATCAATCAAGAGCAGTCAAAATTCTAGTTCATATTATAACGAGGGGTTTCGAGAAGGCGTATTGACAAGGTTGCACCCTGATAACTTAGGTCGACAAACACAATTAAAAAAGATAAATAAAAGAAAAAAACCATACACTATGATAAGGTCAAGTCTATTGGACCCCTACAAGCATAGATAACCAAACAAAATATGACAACAGAAAGAAGGGCTTATTATTAGTCAATTGATAACACCTATCACAAGTGAAATGATATTGTATTAGTTAATTCATGAACAACTGCATTGACAAAAAGAATTGTCAGATACAATAAATAATCTCTTGATAAATCAAGTTGCAAAAACTAGGGGAATGACAGAGTAAACTCCACCTCACCTTATTGGAGTGGCTTCTACCAAGGAAGAGATATAATTTACAGGAGAAGTTATTTTAAAATCGGTAACTGTTGTTGCTTAGATCCATGAATTTCAAACTCAAAACTGTGACAAATTTTTTCAATAGTTTTATGCTACCATGAGAATATCTATTATTTCTAAAAAATATTACTGATTTTTGTTCCCAAGGAGACATATTTCCTAATGTCGATAACATCATCAAATGCAAAAACCATAAACCCTTTTCAGTACACCTAATTCTAAGAGGATGTATAAAACCAGATGTTATTTGTTGTTATAGAAAAGGAAAGGAAAAGAAAGGAAAGATCTGCACTAATCATCTGAGGGAGAGTAATGGCAGAGAGGAAGGCCTGCAAACAACATTTCTATTTCCCAGTAAAACACCCATGAAAAACCTCATACTAGTCATCCAGACCCTATTTTTTTCCAAAATCTTGGATGCTGACTAAAGATTACTTGTTTAAGTAATGAGAGAACACTAGGTGATTATAATCTGTAGAATCTGATTCTGCCACCAAACAGAGATCCAAGGATTTGGGCTCATATGGAATTCTATGCTAGAAGAGAACAACACAATATCCAGATCCCAAAGAACCAAAAGCATTAGGCAGCTCATCTTATGATGAAAACTAGCAGCTTACACCTTCAAATCAACATCTTCTAATATTTGGCCATATCAAACGATAGCTGGCCCAGATCTGACACAAATAACAGATCTAAATGAATGTTTAAAATGACTCACCAGTGGACTTAAATTCAATGAAAGTCAACTCAGTAGAGATAAATGATACTCTAAAACCTACATTAGTCTCAATTTATTTGTATAACATGTATATCAGCAATAAACCTTAATTTGGGGCATTTCTGGACTAGGCCATTAGGATCATGTTACTCACAAAGGGGCCAAAAACATGGAAGAGCACCAAAAAAGACAAGCCTTGCAATGCCAACAACTGCAAAAGATAGCCGTTGACAATTCTTCTGAATAAAGATCAGAATGCAAGGCAGAGGAAAGCTAAGTGCATAAGGCTTATGCTATTAACAGACCCTTTTACGCATAGAAAAGACTTCATACGCTGCACTGAAAAGATGCAAAAATGAAAATCTAAGGTACCATTAACTTTGGCAACAATAATAATAAACATTATGCATTGGCCGTACAGTTATTTCAAGAAAGTCTTGAATAACTTACTTGCGTCAAATTGTTAACTTGGATATTGAACTTTTGAATAATCGTAATAACATCCCTTTTTGGCACTGCCACACCTGCAATGAAGACTATCCTTTATTCCTGTATTTGAACAAATACTTTATCCTTAAGTCATAAACAATTCAAAATATGGAACAAGGTTCCATAAACTAAAAATATATAATAAAAGCATGAGTTCAAGGTGCTCATTACCTCTGGAAATTAAACTGCAAAACCAGTGAACCATGAACTAAACAAGGTGCTTCATAAACCAACAAAGAAAATGTTAACAAATGTGTATCGGTAAAAGCATCAGATTGTTATATACTAGTTTCTCAAGAACTTGGGCTCAACTTGGATTACAGTCATGTGAGTTGTACCGTAACAGATTCAGTTAGAGCCTGAGGCTCATACCAAGGCTTACTGGTGAGTGCCTCTCGATCATGGATAAATATGCCACTCAAGGAATCAGACAAAGCTTATATGAACTCTTCAAGCAAAATAAGATGCAACCAAAAGAGGACATGGATGATTTTGGCTGTAAGATCATTTGCTTGCACATGAGTGAGGGTTTTAAAGCTCGATGAGGCTTTCCAACAAGTCTAAAATGAATGGGATCTGTGACATGCACACATATGCTTATAACTTACTTTTTGTTAATGGAGTGCCCGAAAGAACACTTCATTATGATCCGAGAGGAAAAATACATGAAAGTCTAGCCTGATAAAGAAAGCTACTCAAACCGAAATCTCAATTATCTTCGATTTGGATCATTTGCCATCAAGTAATCGTAACAAAATATTTCAAAGAAAAAAGAGTAGAAAAAAAAACTTTTAGTATTCCTGATGATAACATATCAGGACCAAAATTCTACATGAAATATCTTTTTTCTTTCGGACAGAGATTATAGGAGCAGGAAAGACGAGTATAAAGAGATCAGCACTTGCCCAGACTAGTCAGGCAGTCGTTAAACAAGAACACTTAACCCCACGAAGTGCGAGAAGAGATTATACCATTAATGGCCCACTCAGACCTGTTCGATGTGTCAATCTTCCTCGTGATGACAATCTTCTCCAGCTCAGTCTCCCCTCTCAAAGATATCTTTATATAACCGGACTCCTCACCCCGCTTCACGAATGCCCCCACACTAGAAGCTCTTCCAAGAAGCTGAAGCAAAAACCCGTCTCACCCTTTTCCTGATCACACACACAAAGATATAGAACAATTGGGTGTGAGAGATAGAGAGACCTGGGGCTCTCCAGCGAGGCCTAGTGCGATGGCGCAGACAAGGGAACTCTTTCCGGAGCCATTGGGACCAATGACCAGGTTGAGGCGGGAGCCGGGCTGACACTTGAGGTGGTCGTAGGTCATGAAGTTGTGGATCTCGATCTCTACGATGTTGCCCGGCAAGTAATCATCCTCCCCTCTGCAATAAAAGTGTTTCACTTCTTGGAGAGGCAACTTCTGTAAGAGAAAGAGCAAGCGAGAGAGACGGGTTCGAACAGGAGTACCTCTGGTTCAGCTTGGACCGTTTAGCAGCACGGTGCGCCATTAGAGGAAACGGAGAGAAGCCACTCTGTGTCGCCCTCCCCTACTTCTCCATTCTCGAGGGTAGAGTGAGCGAGGAAGAAGACGTTACTGCATCGGATTGTGAAGCCCTAGCGTTGTTTGGCACACCAAGAGGGACGCAATGGGACGGGGTGCTACATGAGGCGCGAACGTTTTGCCATAAATAAAATAGGTAACTAAAAGAAATTGGACGATTTTTCGAAAAAGCCTTTTTTTTTGTTTTCGGATTAAACCGCATTATTTTAAAAATGCATAACTTAGATTTTTTACAATAATAGTCATTAATGTCAGATTTCTATATGTAAATACATATGAGATATTGGAAATGTAGCAATCCGGATATTGCAAATATTAAAACGGACGCCTGCTATAATTGTTGTATTTGGGTGATTACAAGTCTTATGACAGGGCAAAAATCCCCAATTGGTAAGTTTCAAATGTTTCTGATCTGTAGGCACTACAATTCTTTCAAGGAAAACAAATATCTCAAGAGTAATTCCAACAAACAGGTTGTTAACATATCCGGCCTCTGAAGCCCAAGTTATTCTCTTTCGTGTCTCTCTCAGTAATTCGAACAAACAGGTTCTTAACATGTCGGGGATTCCAATGTAATGTCGTTCCCCTCCAGCCTCTGGAAACCCATTTGCATTCTCCTTCTTTGGACCTGCCGCCATTGTCATATCCTTCTTCCTCTACTTGGAGCGAGGCTTCATCGGCTTCAGATGGCGCGCCTGGAAGCCCACCATGGCCCTCAACAGGGACAGCAGCGTGACCTCGACCGCCGCCCCCTTGCCGTCGGGCTCCATCGTGCTCACTCAACCCTTGAATGGCTCCTTCCTCGAGCGTGCTCGGCCCCTCCACCCCGGGTTCGCAGCCGCCCAACGACACCCTCGTGGCGAACTGCTCCAGGAACGGCAAGCTCCCCGCCACCATCTCCTTGGCCTGCCTCCACGTGCCGTCGAAGACGACGAGGACGGAGGGCGGGCCGGCCACCTCGGCGGCGAGGGGGCCGAGGTCCCTGCCCCCGGGAAAGAGGAAGACGGCCGAGGGGGTATCTCCGCGGTGGCCGTGGTAGAAGGAGTCGAGAAAGGGGTGGGAACCAAGGCGGAGGAGGCGGCCGGGCAGGGTGTGGCAGCGGCGAAGGCAGCGGGCGAGGAGGGGGAGGGTGGCGAGGGGGTTGCGGCGAAGTTCATGGGGGTGATGGAGCACGACGACGGTGGTGGAGGTGTGGAGCGGCT